AGGAAACTGAGGCTGGAAGGGGGGCCCCCGCAGGGTTTAATCTGCAGCGTGGGTGAGCTAGGGCTGGAGCCCAGGCTGCCTCCACAGGCAAGAGGGGAGGTGGGCCCCACGGGAAACAGAGCAGCCAGCACCCAGAGCAGCCCCTCCCCCGCAGCCCAGGCCGCCTGCCTGGCCATGCAGAGGTCTGCCTGCAGCAGGAAGCTACAGCGAGCAGAGACCCCAGTCTCCCCACAGTGCTGCCCCAGCACTGTACACAGTCGGTGCTCAGCACTCGTTTGTAGGTATACTCACGGACATATGCCTTCTTACAAGGAGTCCAGCAATGCACAGACAATCTCTGGGGGAAGACCCAACCTGGGACACCAGTGTCATCAGGGAAGAGAAACAGGGGTTCAGGGACATGGATGGGTAGGGGTCTTCATGAAAAACATTTTTTTAATATTTTATTTATTTCTGAGAGAGAGAGAGAGAGAGCATGAGCAGGAGAAGGTCAGAGAGAGAGGGAGATACAGAATCCAAAACAGGCTTCAGGCTCTGAGCTGGCTGTCAGCACAGAGCCTGATGTGGGGCTCGAACCCACGAACCATGAGATCATGACCTGAGCCTAAGTTGGACACTTAACCGACTGAGCCACTCAGGTGCCCCCATGAAAAACCTTTTTATCCCTTCTGAGTTTCGTCTCGTGAATGACTTACGTATTCAAGGTTTTGTTGTTGTTTTTTAACATTTATTTCTTTTTGAGAAAGAGAGCACAGGGGCGGGGCAGAGAGAAAGGGAGACACAGAATCTGAAGGAGGCTCCATGCTCTGAGCCGTCAGCACAGAGCCTGACACGGGGCTAGAACTCACGAACCATGAGATCATGACTTGAGCTGAAGACGGACACTTAACCCAGTGAGCTACCCAGGGCCCACGTGTTTTCTTTTGTTTTTTGTTTCAAAGGAGAAAAAGAAATCGATGAGGCTGCTGTGTAAGCTTGCTCTGAGGAGGAAGCAGGGAGCCATGGCGTGCTACACTACGCGCTGGAACACAGCTGTCACCGCACACCCCCCGGCTTCCAGAGGCTGAGGGGCAGCAATGATTAAAAAGGGTAGATTTGCTCGCCAAAGAGACCAGCCCAGGGGTCCTGAATCCCCAGAGCTGCTGTTTACAGCAACATGGGAAGCCACCCAATATAACCCTATGATGCTTGTCCAACCGTCACGTGCGCCAGGAGCGAGCAGTGCCCGTCCCTAAGGTGACCGGGGAGCTGGGCGGGACTCACACCTTCTCCACGTTACAGCTCCAAAGACAGAGTTGTGAAATGGTGAGGAAAGGTGCTCTCCAAGGACACAGACTAGCTCCAGAAACTGGGCTCTGGCCCCCCGCTGTGTCTGCCCCTGGAGGAGAGTGAGGCGCGCCGCTGTCCCGCGGAGAAAGCATCTGGGGTCAGAGAGCGCCAGCTTCCAGACAGGCTGTCCGTGGTGCTCCCTCAACACTCGGCTGATGAGCGAAACGTAAAGTGTGTGCGAATCCTCCCATGGGAACAGAGGGAGGGCGGCCGGGAGGAGGCAGGCGTCTGCAGGGTCAGCCTTACCAGGCGGCTTCCCCTGAAACCTGAAAGCATGTTAGCTCCTGGCCTTCCACCTCAGACTCTCCTCTGTGTGAACCTGCATTTATATTCAACTTTCCCTTACGAACACCCTCCCGCCGCTCCCCCGGCCCCAGAGGTGTTATTAAATCAACCCCAAAGGTAAATAGTTTTCATTTCTCCAACCCCAAAAACCTCCCTTCCTGCCAGCACACTCGAGTCTCGTCAACGAGAACATCAAAGCCATTGCTTTCGGTAAGAGCCTCGCGGATCATCAGGTGATGTGTGCAGATAAAAACAACCCGCCACACGGAAGGCTGTGCCCCCTGTGGGGTGGCGAGTGGGCTGGGGGAAAAACAGCGAGCTAAAACGGGGAGCCAAGCGCCGGCCCCTCTGTCCAGGTCCGAATCTGCCCGGTGACCTTAAGAGTCCCTTCCCTCCCACTCCAGGCCTCTCACAGAGGAAGGGGGTTGGGGTCTCTTTCAGATCTAAAAGTGACTGATTCCATCTCATCCTCTCTGCTCAGAGTCTGTACTTCCTGGACTGTGATGACAGTTCATTTACATACAGGGAAAAAAAATGAAGACTACGTGGTTGCTTACACCCTGAGCTGTAGTTTCTGGTGACTCAGAGGAGAAATATATATTTCCATTCAGCTCAAAAGTCATCCCTCCATTCTCCAATTGCTCAAATGATGTAAGTCGCTGGGCCAGTGGGACCCCCTGGGGAAGTTCCAGGCTACTGGGAGCTCAAACGTCAGTGAATGGAAGTTCAACAAGGGAATTTCCCAGGGCAGACAGGTGCGCCGACAGGTGGGCTGGATGGAGATTCCCCTCCCTGAATAAAACACCCCTTACCCATTCATTCTCCGTCTCAGTATATCTCTATTCCTTAGGGGGGGGCCAAGGGAAACACTGGGCTTCGCCCTGGCCCAGGGCCCACCATCCAGGAAGTCACACCCCCAGCACGAAGATTACCTCTTCCAGGAAGGCAATGTTGAACCACCAATGTTGAAAGCGCCCTACACCCCCTGACTATAAACCCCATAAGAGCAGCAACGGTGCCTGACATGTAATGGCTCCGAACACCTTTGCCAAAATACTAAATACTCGCTGAATGAGTGAATCCCACGGCTCCCATAAAGCTTAGGTAATTCTATCCCCCAAAATACTGGGTGCCTGTTGTGTGCTTGGTACTGGGGATTAAATGGTGAACAAGTCAGACAATTACCCACACAGGCATCATCCAAAGCAGCTGCTGACAGTGCTGGCAGAAGATGACCTCCAGCTGTCAGCCCTCTTTGGAGACTGCCTTGGCTGAAGACAATGACCTTGCTCAAGGTTGTTCAGCCTTCCGACACAGCACACATACAATGACTGGTCAACCCATTACCTCAATTCTGGCCCATTCTCAAGGGCCATTCAGCTCTAGAGCTTCCATGGGGTTGGCTGAGGCCTTTGCTGGGACACTGGTATGTCCTGACTTCTTCCTCTGGCCACTCTTGAATTCTTCCCCCTCAGACACGTAGCTGTGGATGCCAAAAGCATGCCGTAATGAACATCTGGCTTACTGACCGACAGCTCAGCATCTGCTTTCCAGGGAGCCCAACCTGCATCAAGAAGAGTCTTCTGATTGATGCCCAGGCCCTGTGACACCAAGATGAAGCCTCCAGGAACAGAACAAGCAAAGAGCCCCGTCCTAGAGGGGAGCTACTTCCTTAGAGCGCCCTATTGGCCAGGATGCTGAAGGCCGGGCTCATGGCGATAAGCAGCGAATGAGAGCTCTAAGGTAGCAAACACCTGTTTGTAATGGTGGCTGTACTGTATGGATGCATCCTAGATCCTTCATGTCAGACTCATTTTCTTGATCCTTTTTCCCCCGGGCACCCAGTGCAGAAAGGAGCTTGGTGACATGTCTGATGAATGGTTAGATGATGACCCGATGGATAAACAGATGGATGGACAGACCTGTCTTACTGAACAAGGAAGTCACATCTAGGGAAGCTAGACAACAAAGGAGGGTAACGATGATTTGGTATAAGTGAAAGTATGTAATTGGCATAAAGTGTTTATCACGGTTCCCAAGAAGCATTAATGATGAAGATGACGATTAAGCCGCTCATGAGGACCTTCCTGGAGAAGGGGACCTGGGATGAGCAGCTTGAAAGTGACAGAATGGAAGAGGGTACATGAAGTAAGAGAATGAGACCTCAGCATTAGCAAATGGAGTCCTGACGCGGCTCATCAGACGTAGAGTAAAATAAACACCCTCTCCACGGGGCTGCTGTGACAGCCCAGCAATGGCAAGTGGAGAGAGCTTCTACGGCCATCACATCTGTCACTCTGAAAGTGGGCTATGACCTTCCCATCACTAGTGGGGGCAGCAGACGATGGAGGGTCTTGAAAGTACTACTGTGGTTTGGAGACTCAATCTCGTGGAGACAGGGAGCCATGGCCTGGCCTCAGTCCCCCTAAGAAATACATGGACCGTGGGACCATCCTCGTTCAGGCAACCGCCCCACACACTGAGAGTGACCTCATTCCTGAGGGTGAAGCCTGGGAAACAGACAGGAGGGCCGAGGGACAGGGGGATTCATAGGAGCCTGCTGTCTGCGCGAGCGTAAGTACTTAAATGACAAGGACAAGGGGAAGAGAGAACGTTTATTTGGGAAAATTATGAAACAAGTGACAGAGCGGATGGTCTGTTAAGCAGCACAGTGCATTCCAGAAAGTGCAGGTAGGGGCTTTTAGCCCGTGACTACTCGTCCCTGAGCTGGGAACATCTGAAGGGCTAAATGCTGAGGCCATCAGAGGGGGCAGGCAAGGGTGACAACCCAGAGAACCGACCTCAGCACCAGCCAGGCGTCAGGCTGAAGGGGAGAGTCATAGGGAGGCAGTAAAGCTCGCAGCTGAAGCAGACTGGCTTTTGCTGCCGAGCGACCTGGGCTAGAGGTGAGGCTCCGCCACTTCCTTCCTGCCCAACCTGGCCTCACCAGGGCCCGCCTCCCTGAGCCTCAGGCCTTATCTGTGATCAAAACAGCAAGGTGCCTGCAGAAGCGAGCCAGCCCATGCAAAGCACTGACACACAGGGGGTGCTTGAAAGCGGACAGGGGACACCGTGTTACTGGATTGTAGGTCACAGGTCCGTGGAGGAGAGGTCCAGAGTGGGCCCCCTCCTATAGCTCCCACACATCCTGAGGGAGTCATGAGTCTTCTGTGAGGCCCCCTCCAGGGGGCCTGATGGAGTCAGCGTGAGTGCAGCGGGGGGGGGGGGGGGGGGGGGGGGGGGGGGGGGGGGGGGGCATACCCCGATTTAACCCAAACCCCTAGATTTCAGTTGCTAGACGGATTTGAGGGCTTTGAGAAAGCATCCTTGTACTTTCCTGAGGAAAAAGATGAAGCTGCAGAAAACAGGGGCTCGTCTGAACTCACACAGCAAGTCAGTGGCGGGGAAAAGGTGCAGCTGGAGGCGCTGAATCTCAGGCAGTTCGTTCAAAGACTGGAGTCGCCGGATGCGTGCTCCAAGGTCAACTGCTCAAGGGGCCCCAGTGTCTTGGCGCCCCAAGGTCCACAGCCCCTACTCTCAAAGCCTATTGAAAAGAGCAAAAGGAAAAGCAAGTGGAGAATGAACTTCTAGGCAGAGAGAGATGTCCCTCCACCTCCCAAAACAGGGATGGTGCTCCCCAGCTCATTCCCTGGAGCTGGGCCAGCACAGGCTGCAGAATACAGGCCCAGGGGCCTCAAGGCCATCAAGGGGACCCCATCCATGCACGTTAGGGATGAGAGAGGTGAGGGACTGTGGAAGAGAAACCAGTTACTTCCATGCCAAGAAATCACAGCTCCCAGATACCCTTGACATGTCTTGTCCAGAGTCAAGCATGGTCTCCATCTGCCCACAATGCAGGCCCGTCCAAGTGCTTATGTCACTTCTCCCTGAGCAGGGAGGACAGAAGAACAAGACTTCTTATAAGTGACACTGATTTCAAGTGACCACAGGTATCTCAACCCACGAATCAGCCCAGACAGAAGAGAAATCTGGCATCGAAGAACAGACCAATCCTACAGATAGCATACGTCATGGCCATTCACCTCCAGCCTCCTCACTGCCTGGCCCTGATGGGCTTTCCATGTGATCACTGATTGTGAAAGCCAGCCATATTGTCCCCTGGTCACAGATGGGTAAAATGAGGCCCAGAGAGCTTCCCCAAGGCACTGTCAGATTTGAATGCATACTGTGCGGAGTGAACTGTGCTAATAGCAAGACCTATGTAATAAAGCTCTCTCTCCAGTCTGCTGCTTTCCCCCACACCCTTTCCCATTGGATATCCCTTTTTTAAAAAGTTTTTTTAAATGTTAATTTAATTTTGAGAAAGAGGCAGAGCATGAGCGGGAGCAGGGGAGAGAGAGAGGGAGACACAGAATCCGAAGCAGGCTCCAGGCTCTGAGCTGTCAGCACAGAGCCCGACACGGGGCTTGAACCCACGGACCATGAGATCATGACCTGAGCCGAAGCTGACGCTTAACCGACTGGGCCACTCAGGACATCCTTATTTTTAAGGGCATTAAGTCTATACGAGATTGATTTTATTCAACAAGAAAGATGCAGAGTGCCCAGCATGGGAGGGGTGCCAGCAACAGCAAGGCTAACTTCCTAAATGCTCTAGAGGGGAGTCCTGCTCCAGATAAGGATTGGAAGAGATGACCTCTGAAGTTGCTTTTACCTTAAGACTCTGTGAGCTGAAACTGAAATTTCCGTTCCTGTGCAAGTATTCCCCATCAGCTGAACACATGCATTTCTACAAGTCCAGAGATGGAAGTTTCACTCTTCTTGGGGACAGCAAGGCTCTCTGAAACCCATCCTGGCCTCTCCTAACTAGCCTCAGCCTTCTTGGGGAGGAAGGGTCCAGATGGAGAGTGAGGGGAATACAACAGATAGTCAGAGATAAACAGGACCGGAGGAGCCTCCTGACTTCACAGGATGTGGTGAGGCGAAGCAGTAAGAGAAAATGAGAAAGCTATCCAGAAACGCAAACAGCACCACAAACAGATTCAACAGGAACACACGGGAACTTTTCTTTTTCTTCTTCTTCTTTTTAGCTAGGAAGTCCAAAAATAGTTGAAAGAGCTGTACCTCAAAGCCTTCTGAAGAAAAACCATGTCTCGTCCATAAGACAAATCTAGGAGGACATTAAGGGTGAAGTCTGAAGTCCTGAGTACTGTAGGGCCAGCTCAGACTCGACACAGGACTCCACAACGTAAGTGAGAAGCGAGCTGTTACAACCCCAGCCTGTACACTCAGGAGCCAGAGTGCTCATCAGCAGTTCACACAAAGGCTCGGTCTGAAACTCGCTCATTTTCAGGGAAGGCTGCCTTACCACTGGCTCCTCGTGAAGGCTTCTGCATGGACAGGAACAGACTTGGCGGGAGGAATAACCAAAATCAGCACCTCCCAAGGGAGTGGGTAAACAAGCAGATGAAAAAAACTTGGCCTCATTAAGGATTAAAAGAAAGCATAAATTTAACAAGAGACCATTTTGCGTCTATTGAATTATAATTTTTTTAAGCTAATAATACCCGGTGTTGGTGAAGTTGTGGCAGATCTGGCAAGCCCACACGTGGATGGTGGCGACGTGCACAACCTTATTTGAAAGTAGTTTGGCAATACGGGTCGAGATTCATAAAACTGAGCCTTTCGACTCAATCATCCTTCTGCTGAGAGTGGGTCCAAAGGATTTTCCCAGAAGGGAAGAGAGAGATGCACAGATATGCTCACAGCCCTCGTAAGTACGACAGCAAACCACTAGAACTTTTAATTTTTCAACAATGGAGAACTGGTGGAGAATATAACTTATCGGCCTGAGGAGCACTTTCAAAGTGATCATTCGAGGGGTGCCTGGGTGGTTCAGCCGGTGGAGCGTCCGACTTCCACTCAGGTCATGGTCTTGCATCAGAGTTCAAGTCCTGCATCGGGCTCTGTGCTGACAGCTCAGACCCTGGAACCTGCGTCTAATTCTGTGTCTCCCTCTCTCTCTGCCCCACCTTCCCCAAACCCTCCTCACTTATGGTCTGTCTCTCTCTCTCTCTCAAAAATAAATAAACATCAAAAAAATTTATTTTATGATCGTGCGTAAGGCACTTCAGCAAAATGGAAAAATGCCTATGATACGTCAGATAAAAAACAGATTATGAAATATTTCCCACACCTATGTCTATATGAAATTGTACATTAATACATGGACAGACCTATCACATACCTGAAAACAATCTGATGAGTCACGGAGGGGAGGGTTACTGATTTTGTTCCCTTGTCCATTTCCATTCGTTGTCAAAATAAGTGACCACAGCATTGATGTTGATGATTATTTCGTATTGGCCAAACTTTAATAATATATAGGAAAGACATGGGTGGAACTCTGGGGCACTAGAAACAGAATTCAGGAGATGAGAAACGATCAAACTCCAAAGGCGTCAGAGGAGCAAGTGCAAGGAACATGACCTCTAATCAGAGGATGGAAAATGCAGGCACCACAGGGTCACGTATTAGCGAGGTGAGTCTCCCAGGCCCCGTGGTGCTTCCGGCAGTATCTGACTGTCTCAGCTTTACGAGATCAGTCTCCCTCCTCTCTACTACGCCCACGGTGCTCAAACGGGAATAGAAAAGCCCAGATCTGTATATATTTAAATGCCCATCCTCCTAAAACAAAATTCTGCTGAGAGGCCTAAAAATAATTTAAATACTGAATTTCCCAAACCAAGTCTTTTTCAGAGAGGCAATGCAGACCAGTTTCTACACGTGGAGCTCAACCAAGGTCATATGGGACTTTCATTTTGTATAGGGGAGGACCCAGGTGGGCTTTCTGGAGTGAACAGCAATCTCAACAGACAGCTGTCCGTCCCCTGGCCCAGGCAGGGGTGCTCCACTTGGGAAAGTGACCTGAGTCCAGTCCCGACGCCAGCCTTACTAGCCCCGGACTGCTGCACCTGTCCTCTCGAGCTGTGACCTCAGATGTGCCTCCATAAAGTGGGGACACTGCAGAGCCTTCCTCACAGGGGTTGGGGCACTAGAGGAGCCGCATGCACGCCGCACAGCACCAGGCAGTGGCGGGCACTCACTAACTGCGGGCTCGCTCTGTCACTCTCCTTTCTTGGTCCGAGGACTTCCTGTGTCACGTGTGTGGGGGGAGGGCACACATGCAAATGACCAAGTGCCTCGCTCAAGCCTGGCTGCCAGGAGGATCACCTGGTGGGTCCCTCCCAGCGCGATTACATCAGATGCTCCGGGAGGGAGGGGCCCGGGCACAGTGCCTCCGTAAAGCTGACTCCCTGGTGCCACAGATCTATGGCACGTCCAACTCAGGCAAGGTCATTTCCCCTCCAAAGCCCCGAGCTCACTATAGCGAGAGGCGGGAATCTTTCTCAGTGTATTTAGGCTGCAGTTCAACAGTTCCTCTTGGGACAGGCGCATTTCTAAGGACTGGCAAAGGGCAAGGGTTTCCCCCACTCCCTGCCTCCTGCTCAGCCCAGGGATTCCTGCGAAGCAGAAGAGGTGGCAGCTGGAGCCACCCGGGTCGTGGAGGCCACCGAGAAGCACCTGAGCGACATGGGCAGCGACACCGGTGAGCTCCCAGGGCCACCCCGCCCGACCCCGGTCTTCCACGCATCTCTTGCGGACTCCTGTGTGTCCCTGGCATGGGGGCAGCAGATGGGCAGGGGCCAGGCCTCCCGAGGAGCGCTGTCTCCAGAGGCAGCCAGCCCCACACCTCTGGAGGGGGCAGGTGGAGAGCGCAGGATGCCCCCCCTCTGTGGAGCGGGCACAGCCTGTCGGTGCTGCTGGGGGACAGGCCTGCGCCCCGTGCCAAGCCCAGAGACGCTCCCCGTGCAGTGGCAGGAGCTGTGGCTCGAGTCGCCGCTGCAGGGAGACACAGGCGCAGCCCTTCAGGGGAACATTAACCTCCCCCCCGGGGTGCAGCAACAGCAGGTGAGAACCTGCGGGCCCCCCGGGGCAGGCTGCCTGCGTCGCCCCAGTGAAGGGACCTGCCCAGCTGCTCTCGGCCTGGCTAGAAGATGCTTGGGGGGCCCTCGTCCACGCTCCGCCTGGAAGACTCATTCTGTAAGACTGTTCCAAGACCAGGACTCTGCTCTTCCCTCGCCTGTTCCCAAATGCCCTGCAGTCAATGCTCCCTGGACCCCCATTACCGGAGGGCACGTTTCCAGCGCGCTGACGAGCGGCCGGGAGCCTCCACGCACATCACCCTTGGGAACTCCAGCGACCCGCACAGTCAGCTTTCGGAGTCAATGCTGTTCTCATTCCCACTTTACAGACGAGGACAGTGGGGGCACTGAGCTCACGCGGCAGAGCTGGGTCTGCGCGCCTGGCAGGTTCCGGAGGCTGGGCTCTCCCATTCTGCCCTGGTTCGAGGACTGTTGCTTCTTTGACTCCTCCTTTTGGTCAAAACACATTACTGGGCTCCTGCTGTATGCCAGCCCGGGGCAAGGGGCTGGAGACACGGTCAGCCCTCTCAAGAGCTCCCTTAACATAGTCCTAAGGCCCTCAGAAGCAATTCTGAACAAGTCAAGTCCCTGTGAAAATCTCGCTAAGTAGCTGGACCTTGGCCACCTCCTGCAGAGGCGGGCACGGGGTGAGCAGCGGGGCACCAGAGCGTGGGGTTGGGCAGACCTAGGAGTGAGTGCCAGCTGCCCACGGACAAGCTTTGTGACACAGGGATGCCCCTTTCTGACGCTTCTCCGTAGAGGGGGATGATGGGAACCCTCCTGGGCTGCTCCAGGGGGCGAGTAAGAAACGGTCTGCACAACTCATAGTAAGCGACTGGGGACTTCTGTGGGGCCAAATGCCGGTCTGAGGACAACCAGGAATCAGGGGGTGGGCAGTGACCGGTTCAAGAGGCTGCTGACATTCAGGGCAGGGGTGAGGAGCCCAGGAGGGGCCCCCAAAGGTATCCCAGAAGGAGAAGGGCCTGCGATGGATTGGGTCAGTTTTGGGAAGGGCGGAGAGGCTCCCAAGCCAAGAAGAAAGGAGACAGGACAGCCGGGGGGCGGGGGGGGGGGCCACAAACTATGGGCTGGACCGAGCAGAAGTCAGCAGAGGTCACGACGGATGCTAAGACACTATAGATGCCAAGAAGAATGAATGAATGAGGGAGGGACTGTTAAATCCTCTCAGCGGAGACAAACACCAAAACGCACTCACGAGCTCGCAATTCTAGGCTCTAAATGGAGTCACGGAAGCCCTCACCTCGGGAAAGGACGGGGCTCTCTTCCGTGTTCGTCTCCTAGAGCCGCCATGCATACAATGACCACAAACCAGGTGGCTTGAAGGGCAGAAAGCTATTCTCACACAGTTCTGGGGGTGAGAAGTCCAAAATGGAGACCTCTGCTCTCTCAGAAGGCTCTAGAAAGAATCCTTGCCTGCCTCTCTCCTGGCTTCGGGCTGTTGGGAGATGTGGTAGATGCAGGGGTCTGATCTCTGTCCCCGTCTCCACACGGCCTCTGTTGCTCTGGATATCCATCCTCTTACAAAAACACCAGCCAGGGGATTTAGAGCTCTCCCTGCTATGAAAGACACCCTTTTCCCAAATACGGTCACGATCACAGGTACCAAGGATTAGGACACAATTCAATCCACTACCCCTTAATCACAACCTCTCCACTGGCCAGCTGTCCAGGTCAGCTGTGACCTCCCAGGATCTTCTGCTGACACCCTAACACAGAGCCTGGGTGCAGCACGTCCGTAAACCCAGAGAAGCTGGCGCCTGCGCCCACCAGGCCCTCGTCCCAGGAAGCCTTAGCTACCACATTCACACCAGCATTACCTTGGCTTCTTCCTAACGGCACTTCTGCAAAAGGGCACCCCCCACACCCCACCACAGACCCGGAGCTCTGCGCTCAAGAGGCACCCAGGTACAGGGTGCTGGACACAACAGAAGTTCCCAGACCTATACCTGTTAGAAGGAACAGTTGAGCCCGGATCCCGTTCCCTAAGAGGCCAGGCAGGTGGCTGTCACTGAAAGGGGGTCACGTGCACCGCCGGCTGCGGTGGGTCTGTCCGCACAGTTCTGAGAGATCCAGAACTTCTCCCTCGCAGCCGCCCGGGAAACCCTGGGCAGCGTATCTTCTCTGCCCAATCAGCCAGGCGGCCCTTCGACGAACATTCCTCAGGCTGGGCTCTGCTGCCCGCGGTCGTCGGCCAGGCACACACATGAACGGAAGAGGCCATCGGCGAGCAGGGGCCGGCTCTCCAAGGTCATAGGATCCCAGGGCCTTCAAACTCCAAAGTGCCCTCCCAGGGAAGCACCCAGGCATACCACAGGCATCCATAAACGTTAGCTGTGGTCAACCGACCAGACAGACTTTTCCAGTCCCTAAAGGAGGCCTGTGGACGCTCAAATAGTTTTCAGCGACCTGCTGTATAACCTTGGGCAAGTTGCAGAGCCCCGTGAGGGAGCACATCTCCTTATCCAGATGTAGGACCCGGAGACTGAAAGTAGTCTTGCAGTACTTGGCATACTTTTCCGTTCCACCTTTACAGCAGAAACACTGACCAGGTAAGCTGTCCTTCCCTTAAGACAGGGCTGAAAGGAGGCTGTGAAAGTGCAGCGTGAGCCTTCCCCGACGTGGCCTCGTTCTCTGCAGCGCCACGGAGCACGCTCCGGACCCGGCGGGACTGACCCTCGTGTCAGGGGTTAGGCAAGGTCACGTGCACACCCCATGGTTCTGTCCCAAACACACCCCGGATGGAGAACATACCCCGCCTTCTCAGGGCGGCCCCAACGTTAGCATCCGTCCCCTACCTTCCCTCCCACCAGTATTGTGTTTCGAGCCCACTCTGTGCCCCACTGTGGGTCCTAGGGGGTAGGGTGACAAAGAGACAAAGCCCCTGCCTTCACAGGACGAATCCTGGGGTCCTCTTCTCCCTCTACCCCTTCTCCAAGCCCCCAGGAGTTGATCCTTCTTCTGGATTCATTGCCCAGTTCGTTCCTGATCTTCCACAAGAGGCCCCCAGTCTCGTTTCCATTCAAAGGATAACCCTGCCCTCCCTCTGACCTCTCCCTTCGTCACCGTGGGTGGAGTGTCACTCCTGTACAAAGCATGCAACCTACCATCAGCCTGGGGGGAACAGCCCAGGAGACTCCAGAAACAAACACTCATTACTGGAGAGTCCGTCAGGTGACCCACCCTCCGATCAGCCTTCCAGGAGCTGCTGTCCACAGCCTGGGGGGTGGGGGGTCTCCCCGCTGGGTGTGGGGGTCCTGGAGGGAAAGGAGGAAGACAAGACGCTCCGATGTCCCCACCAACAGACACTCCTTGCTACGAACCTAAAGGACACAAGGTCGAACCCAATAGACAAGCGGCTTGCACAAGGTCCTTCCCACGACCCTCTGTGGCCTGAATTTGGTTCTCATATCTCAGCTGAACCAGAGTCCAAGCAGAAACTACCCTGAGCTCCATCTGGAAAGGCTCAGAATTGCCAGTCAGCCCTTAATGAGGCGCACCAAGCTGAGAACCCGGCAACCCTTCAGAGAGCAGAAGTCTGGGGCCCAAGGAACTCCACACCTGCATTGCCCAACAGGGTGGACACGAGCCATCGATTTAATTTTAAATACATAAAAATGAATCCACATTAAAACTGCTGCTCCTCTGGGGGCACCTGGGTGGCTCAGTCAGTTGACCGACCGAATCTTGATTGCCGTTTGGGACATGTGCCGACAGCCTGGAGCCTGCCTGCAACTCTCTCCCTCTCCCTCTCTGCCCCGCCCCTGCTCTTGTGTGTGCATGCTTGCTCGTTCTCTCTCAAAATAAATAAGTAAACATTTTTTTAAAAAATTGTTGTTTCTTAGATGCTACAGCCCCATTCGAGTCCTTGGTAACCACCTGTGGCTGGGGGCTCCCATATCAGCCAGTGCAGGTTACAGGATCCTTTCATCCCCACAGAGAGCTTTTCACTCCTCCAGAGGCTTTCCCTTGGCTGCCCGGAAGTGGAACAAGACCCAGCCCCCACTCGCCCCCATTCAAACCCAGTTGGGAAAAGCCATCGTGGAAAAGACCTCCATAGGAGAAGAAATTGGTCACTGCCCAGAAATGAAGAGCAGGTTCCAGCCCCAGAACTTGAGGCCGGCATACGGCTCTGCTACTTACCAGGTATGTGGCCCCAAGAAGCTGGCGTGGCCTGTGGGAGCCTCAGTTGTCTCAGCCACAGAACGGGAGTGAAGATCTGCGCCCTGCCTCTTCCTGCAGCTTTTCAGACTCCTGAGTGCCTCCAAAGGCTAAGGAAGTCCCACGTCATAGGCGGTAGCTCTGGAAATAAAACTACGGCTAAGGTTTGCGCTCTGTGAGGTTATCGGTACCCTTCTTCTCTCGGTTAGGAAAACACGAGCTATATTGATCCACCAGAATTCAACAGGCCTCTTCGTAATGAAATTTAATTGAATGCAAACCAAGTAAGTGACCCTCTCAGCACCCCCTGCGGAAACTCCTACGGCTGGAATTGCAATTTGTCTCTCTGTTATGAAATTCTCTGTGGCTGGTTTTCCAGCCCTGACTGTGCATTAACATCAGGAAGCCCCCCGACGACCTCCTCCATCAGCTGCTGGCCCCATCAGTGCCTTGGGCTGCCGGCCGCTGTCTCCCGGGAGCCAAGAACAGGGCCAGTGCATGAAAGGCACAGCCAGTAAGTGTTTCTGAAGGGAGGGGCTGCTGGCCTCCCGCTTCTGGCAGGAGGAGCAGGCCCATCGTGCGGCAGGAAGCACCCCGGGTCTGGGAGAAAGAGGCTCCTCACGGACGCTGCTGCCATCGGACCTGCCCCGGGGCACCCTCCTTGGCACACCTTCCCTTCCCCTGCCCCCCCCCCGTCTGCCAGTCCCGACCCCCATGCTGCTCCTCACACCTGCGGTTCGCCCGTGCACATGGGGCTGGGCTCCCTCCTCTGGCTGTAGCCTCGGTGGGTGGGGACACGTCCACCCCCCCACTGGTTGCCCCACCGTTCACAAGAGTCACAGGAAGAAAAAATAATCCCAGAACCGGAAAGAGACTCCAGCTGCTCGGGGGACATATGTGCAAAGTAAGAGTCAAAGAAGTGGGGTGAACCATCAGGGCAGGACCCTCCCCCACCAACCGGCGCCCTGACCAGAGACCCCACTGGCCTCTGCGTCTGGCCCAGTGTGGACTTCTAGGCTGATCAGCTTCCTCCCCCAAGAGAGCAGCCCCTGGGGTCTTCCTCGTGCCCAAAACAGTGCCTGGCACACAGCAGGGTGTGGTATCGGTTTGTATATGGTATATATGTTAAATGAACCAGGAACTCACGGGAGAAGTATATGAAGTTAGCCTTAATATTGTAAATGCTGCTCAAAAACAGGAGCTGCCTTCTGAGCGGATCCCTCCGGGCTCTTACTTCTGGAATCTGCCATGGTTCTCCTCAGAGACGGCAGGAAAGGGTGAGAGGGACAGTCCTCGGAAACTTCCCAGGAGCCATTGCAACACAGGTAATGCGTTCACCCACCAGACCTCTCCCAAGGCTTACTGGGTCTGGACTTGGAGAAAGGCTCTCACTTTGGGGAAAGCAGGCAGTAAGCAAACCTGGGAGTGACCGAGGGGAGGTCAGGACCCAGACAGCAGAGGAGGGCACTGGAGTCGGCCTGGGGCAGGGGCAGGAAGCCTTCCTGGAGGAGGAGGCAGACCCTAGAACTTGAAACACACACGGAGGATACCTCCAGGAGGAAGAGACTGCTGGGCCAGATGAGACCTCTATTTTGTAGGGGAAAGAGGGGAGCCGTGGACCAGGTCAGACCTCCCAGATACACCCTCTCCCCCCCACACCCCGTCTTCCCAGACCTCCTCAGTGGGGATCTGACACCAATCACATAACTGTAGTTCTCAGTCTGCTCCTCTGTTAAAGGACATTAAAATGGAGAAGATTCCCCCATTAGAGAGAACAAAAAGTCCAAGCCTGGAATTTAGGAGACCCAGGTCCTAGCTCCTCTGAGTCCCTCAGCTCTCTTGCCTATAAAATAGTCACAGCAAAACTAAATGATCTTTTTTTTTCAGTTTATCCATTTATTCGGGGGGGGGCTCTTATGCTAGTGGGGGTGGAGCAGAGAGAGGGAGAGAGAATCCTAAGCAGGCTCCACACCATCAACGCGGACCCCAATGTGGGGCTTGAACCCGCAAACCATGGGATTGCGACCCAAGCAGAAACCAAGAATCGGATGCTTACCCACCCCGGCGCCCCATAACTAGGTGACATTTAATGCGGAAGCTGAACTAAAAAAACAGGGTGGGTAAATTACACCCATCCCAAGGTGCTGGTTTCCAGGTGAAGAAGGAACATACGTGTCGAAAGCCCCTCCAATCGCAAAGCAGAGCATGTGAGGGTAAGACGCGAGCACCTATCTCCCGGCGCATCAGCCACCGGACGTGCCCGCGCTCTGCTCAGGGCTCTACTCCCTTCGTCTCCTGGCCTCACAACAAACCTGTAATTCACAGACGTGCTCCGATGACACCCGCTTCACAGACCAAAATAAGAGGCTATATAACGTTAGCCGCTGCTGAAGCCAAGAGCCAGAGGCAGGCGAGGGTCCCCCAGAGCCCCCAGAGATCGCCCCCACTCATCCTACCCGGACTGGAAGCCGAATCCTAAGGGTGTGAAGCACAGAGGAACAGGCTTCGCCTTTCAGTTCTGCGGAAGAACCCACGCTGTTAGGTGGTTTTGAGAAAGTACGACGGGGGTCAGGGGCACGTGGCTCCACCACGGTGGCACAGAGAAGGCTGTGGTCTTCAATCTGGGGGGCTTCAGGGCAGCTGCCCAGAAGGAGAACCTCGACTCGCTGGTGCTGCAGGGCCCTGGGCATAAGCTCCCCCCCCCCCGCCCCCGCCTCGGCTGCTTACCCACCCCTGTGGTGGTAGCTCCAGACCAGACTCAACCCGACCCCAGCCCCCGAGCCGCTAGATCATCTCTCCTCCACCTGCGCATGCACACACACACATGCACACACGCACACGCGCACACACACGCGCACACACACTGGTATTTCCTAGACAGTGCGAGGCACCAAATCCACGGGGGGGCTACAGACGCTGGCAGCACGGTGGACTCCTTCCCTCCTATAAGCCCCGAGGCTTGTCACCCTCCTCGTTCAGGAGCCCTCTCTCCCTAATGGGACCCCTCTCCCAGGTCAGGCCCCTGTCACCTCTCTGCCCTGTCCGTATCTTGTCCCGGTCATGCAGCAAGGGCAAGCTTCCTGAGACGCCGACCTCGCTCTCGCGTCTGCACGACTCTCTGTGGTCCTCAGCACAAAGGTACACGGCCTTTCCAAGGACCTGCTCCCCTCTCCCCTCTCCCCTGCCCCCTCCAACGCAGAGCGTTCCTGCCGGGAGTCTATCCTCCAGGCTAATAGCTCCTTCCTTCCTTCCTCCTCCCCCAGTGCCTTCCTTCCTGTCCAGGTCCACACGGTGGGAAGCTGTGTGTGCCTGTGACAACCTGTGTCCCCAGCAGAGACTCAGACTCACTACTGTGATGACGTGATGTCTCCTCCACATCTCCCCTGCCTGGAAACCTAGAGCTCCCCAAGGGAAGAGAGCATCCTGCTTACTTCTGAGCTCCCGGGATGCACCCCGGGCCTGGCCTGTAGTACATGCTCAGTTAAACAGCTGCAGAGAGAGGCGTGCACTGCAATGTGGAGTGTCCTAGGAAGCTGAAACAAGGCATCCCTATCGGGATTTTTTTTAAGAAAACAAACAACAGAAAAGGATTATCTATGCCTCAGTTACTGCATCTGCAAAGTGGAGACAGACTCCAGAACGGGGTGGACAGGAAGGAAGTACTCAAAGCAAGCCCCACAGAGGCCTCCAGTGATAAGTGTTCTCTTTTCCTATCTTCAGCTTGCTCATTTCCCTATCAGGGTGCATCCATCCAGGAGGCTCCTGGGTGACAGGCTGTGCCACGAAGATCCTATCTCTCACCAACTGAACTTCAAAAGCATCTTTATCTGCAGAACCCACCTCAAGGAAGGTTAATTCCTAGCTCCTCTCAGTAATCCTTTTATTCTTGGCCGGCCAGGCACGCCCGGCCAGCCTTATCGGCAACACCCCAAAGCTGTTGTCTTTCCAGGAAGGGTGTCTCCTATCTACAGACCTCCAGGAGGTGAAAGGAAGTGAGGGCCACCAAGGCGATCCTGGTTTCTGCAGCCTTCCTGCTGGGCTACCTGGGACCAAACGGCCCCTCGCTCGGGGGCTCACTTTCCCCCGTTTTCCCCTCTGCATAAGGACTCAATGCTCCTCCAGCTTGGAAAATGCTATAGTAGTAATAAGAAGAAGAACAGCAATGATACTAGTTAATTATAATTTCAGGGGCTGGGCCAGATACGCTGAATTGATACTGTGACCGCCCGCGTTATTCCCATCTGGCGAACGAGGGGGAACTGGTAAACAGAAAGACATCAGGGAGAGTTCCAGGAATTCTGTTATCCGGGTTTTGCTGCAGATGACAAAACAGCCGTGTGCAGGAGAGATCTTCTAAGAACTGCTGGCTGAACCTGCACAAGACCAGAGCAGGTACGGATACAGCAAGCAAGCACTAGGGACAGTTCCTTAAAGCCACGTCCCTGTCCCCAGGACCGGAGTTGACCCGAGTAAGAATTCTGCAGGGGCCTCTCCTGCATGCTGTTTTGGGGGTGGCGGGAAAGGGGTGAGAGCCTGGCAGAGAATCAAGGGCACGGGCTCCCGTGGGGCTGGCCACCTCAGCCTCACCTGCTCCTGGCATTGACCACTGGGCTTGCTCGCGGCCTCCTTGAACTTCAGACACTGAACAGCTTAACAGAACGTCGCCAGCAGTCTAAGGCGGGGCCTGGCATCCAGCGGACATCGGCTCCCTGCCTCCTTAAAGAGTTTGTCGTGAGCAGAGCAACTTTGGGTGCAGACATTGGACCTTTTAGCTACTGTATCTCCAGAATCTAGCAGTACTTGGAAGACAGCAGTTGTTTAATAAACGCTCAGTAAGTGCTGGATTGAAATGAAAACATAGATAGGAAGCCATCTGAGGACGGATGGGTGCAAAACACACTGAAATGCGAGCACTCAGTACGTCCCCTGGTACCCCCGCCTCTCTCCCTTAGAGCCACAGAGGCACCCGCCCTCCCCGCGGCCGGACACTTGGCCTCGAGGGGCAGTGTAAGGCAATGGCAAAATATGAGGACCCAGGTAGACGGACGGCTTTCGGCCTTCGTGCTACCAATTACAGGCTCTGTGAGCGCAACCTCCTGCGCCCTCAATGTCCCGTTGTGATGGCGGCTACTTCGCAGGGA